AGGACATTCCTCATTTTCTATTTACGATTTTTTTAATTGGAACGAAAATGTCATCTTCCTATGTGGAATTCGGTGCCTAACTTTTAGTCCAAGTTCCATAATATTGGTAAGGGAGGGGTAGAAGTACCGTTTTTTTTTTTCAACCAAGTCCTAATCTTACCTGTTGTCCGCTCTTGACATGGTGGTACTTAACGACAAACATTCCGATTTTTTGCTTGAGTTATTCGGAGATTAGTTTTGGTATTGTTTCTATGGCATTCCTACCACGATCCTGTTGGCGAGGGGGTGGAAAACTGAGGAGGTCGAGCCCAATATCCTTTTGTTCTACTGTAGATAGAGGACGCACGGGTTGTGAATGAGGTTATCCAATCAATGCACGACACGGAGCCCTTCTCCGACGAACTGTTGCAGGCCATGAAGCGTCTCTGGGCCGATCCCGGCGTCCAGCAGTGCTTTCAGCGCTCCAATGAATATCAACTCAACGACTCGGCCAAGTAGTAAGTCACTTTCTCTCCTCACGACGTCTTGTACTTTCCTTCTTTGAACTAAATTGTGATAACGGCGGCATGGTGTTGAGACTGAATCTGTTGCATGACTTTGTCCGCTTTTGAGTACCGTTCCTGACATTTCCAGTCGCAGCATTACTGACGTGCTTTGGTGCCTTAACACCGCTAGTCAGAAAGTAGCCAAAGGGGTACGGTTGAAATTGTACCGCGCCGTGCCTCTAAGGCCATTTCGTGTAATTTAAATGGAATAGTCTATTGTGACCTCTTTCAGCTTTCCGAAGAGCCTGCTGCTTCGACCTTACTTCACGGATGTCTTACGATTTAAGTAGGAATGTGTTCGGTGCTACTGAAAAACTTCATCATCACCAGTTCGACAAATCCCTTATTGCCTCACTGAGGCAATCATCAACAGGTAGATGCCAGCGTTCTACCTCACAAATCACATTGGAAGCTATTTTTTGAAGGAGTGCTCAAAATTCGATTGTGCCTCCATGGAAAAAATGCAATTCGTTCAAATGTAACGGGTAGGGGCTTCTGCAGCACTCATCTTGAGTGATTTGTACACTCTCGTGGAAAATGCTCAGTTGCGCTACGACTTTACTACCCTTCTGGTGTTTCTCACAGGATCGCAGTCAATCCTCAAGCATGTTTGTCGTAGTGCATTCCTGTAAGGCTTCGTTCTCTGGCAATGACTGCACCACATGTGCTGACAAATGTCCAAGGGCCAAATGTGTGGGTAAAAAGTGGGCAGCTGGAGCTGTACGCACACGCAAAAGTCACAGTTTCTCCCCACTTCCTCCTCTCATCTGTTGCAGAGTTAGAGGCTGGGCTCTTTTTCTCTTCCTCCTCCTCCTCCATGACAGTTATTGCCTTCTTCCCGAAATATGAGTTTGCTCAAGTATGCTTAAGCGTGTGCCGGCTTCATGTGTGATAAGTGAAGTGAACGGTTTTTCGTGATAGGCACTTCAAGAAATTGACACTGTGAATAGGAAGCCAGATTTTTAAACCTTTCAATTCCCACTGAAGGGAGTTTGAGTGAATGATAGAGGAGTGGTGAACTTGGTGGTAGAAGCCTTTTTGAGAACTGTCGAATATAGATGGTGAAATGTCTCATGGGTAGGGAACAAGGGGCTGATGATTTCACGGGGCTAGAGGTGAGGCTTTGAAGCATCGACGAGAATGCTGTGACAGCAAAGAACCCTGTGAAAGTCATTAGCCCGTTGACATTTTGAAGTTTACAAAGCTTGGTGGATGAAGAAAAACCTACACGCTTTATAAGATCCCATCCAAACAAGTTAAGTGTGGAAAGGTCAGATAAGACGACAAGAGGTGTGGTCTCTGTTTAGTGTTGTAAGGTGGCTGAACTCGTTTCCTCAATTGAGACATCCCTAGTGTCTTCTATGTTATGAGCAAATTTGTTGCCATTCCGTTCAACAACGATAGCTTCGTGTGAATTAAAGGACGGCTTGGTCTGTAGTATCGGTAAACTTGTCATCCAAATCGTGTTGACAGTTTTAAAAACTTATCGTGTGGGACGGCGGCAC